CAATGCTGATGGTAAGGGGGAGGTGTAAGCACTAAGATACCCCAAATGATCCCACAATTGTGGTACCATTCAGGCCATGCCAGAGGTCTCGAACTAGATAAGCTAGTGAGGATGCACAATGGTAAGACATGATTCTTCCTAGATAGAGTGCTAAATTTGGACATGAAAGCAAAGGTTTGTGATGCCAAAGAGCTATATATATATTCATATATAAATACATATATACACGTAGAAAAAGACATCGATTGTACTTAACGAAACGTGCCATTCATGATATAACTTTCCAACATTTTAATGATAATTATACACTTACAGGTCGTGGACTACAATGTTTACATAAGCGAGTCAGGAGAGAAGTACACTGAGAGAATTGAGGTGAATCGAGATAAGAACACGGAATTGTTCCAAGTTCCCGCCCATCCTGGTGTTGATCGTTCTGATATCCTACATGATTTCATCCAAGTGAGTTTTAGTGTAGACGAATTCTCACTCAACATTCATTATTACTGTAAAGCCTCGACTCTTTCTCCCTTTTAAACATAAATTTAACACCACTTATGCAAAATCCAGAAGCTGCTCAATTCTTTCTAACCTCACTGTTAACAGCCCAAGGTCGCACTCACGTATTTTTGTCCGGGTGAACTCCTGTATCGACTTCCATCCTCGCTACTTGTTTTTATTAACTACAATCTGTTCAGTAATTGTAAATCTTTCCACTTTTCCATTTTTTATTTTTTACTGTGAAATGATGCGAGGTTGCCTAAAAAAGCGATATTTAGCCATTGCATAATTAAGTATTTGATATAATTTTCCTTATTGCTCTTTATTCATCGTCCCAGAATTTGACGATGCTGCGAATCCCAGACCAGAATACCTGCTATCTGTTTCCTCTCATGAAGGAGCAGACGACCCCTGAAAAGTTGATCAGGGATCTCGACAAAGCCAGCGGGGTGAGAGCAATTGATACTTTTACAATAAATAGTATTGTGATTTCATTGTTTTATTTATTTATTTATTTTTATTTTTATTTTTTTGCTAACTTTGAATAATACCGGTGAAATTTATCCCTGAAAACTCCCTTAATAGCTAAACTACACTTCAAGATGACAGGCCGGGCAAGGGCGCGAATTATTTCCCTGATAAGCGATTTGGTCGACTTAGTTGATAATCAACTAGAACTTGATAGTGGCAGAAAAACCATTATAACAAATACTACTATGGTTGTATACTTTCCGATGTTTTGAGCGTTGGCCGAGGTCAATCGAAGGATTATGGATTATTTGTGCGCGTGTCTAAATGCCAGAATATGCAGTTAGGTTGCTGGGGTAAGCTTGGGAAAGGATGATAATGGATGTATAGCAAATCAGTGAGGTGTATTCTCTTATTCCAAGAAAAGCCAAAGTTTCTATTATGGAAGTAAATTATTTTTGAAGTTTTACGATTCCCCAGCGTTCTGATTTATACCTTAGTTTGGTGAAGGAAAGTCTACAAACAAGTACGTTTTGAAACAACCATCACAAGCTTGGGACTGAGATTTCTTTGTTACCAGTGAGAAAGAACATTAAGAGAAAAAACTAAAAGGGATCGGTGTACTTTGTGAGGTCCTGACACACTTCGCCCTCTTCGTTTACTAGCACTCAAATTCTAAAACGATTTAACAAAATATTGAATCCTTAACTCTGACAGATGGTTGTGACAGAGACCAAGCGGGTTGATAGCACTTGGATTCTTGACGGCCAGTTAACAGACCGGTCCACACTCAGCGAGGAGTTGGCGCAATTTTGTGCAAAATACTCCATATACCATGTGAAAAAGATCCAAGATTCGTTAAGTGTGGCAAAAGGTAAGACAACGAAACTATCAAGTCACATTTCGTCAAGAAAACTTCGCACAGCCTAGCGTAGTCACAAGTCATTCACGCATACACGCCTACACGAAGGCACTGATCTCTTGCGTGCGCGTTGTATTCTTGCCTACCCTCTGTAGCCTGAGTTCCACATCCAATCAGCAACGTCCGTCAATTAATAGTCCAAAATATTCAGTGCCTTTAGAAAGTCTAATAAGTAATTTTGCTATTTTTTTTAACTTTGCAAAATCAAATTACAAATTACAGTATCAGTTGATAGATGATTTGATGTTCCTATATTTGTGCTGTAGCAGAAAGCCATACAATCGAGGAGGCGGTGTAATAACATAAACAAACTGTGTCCAGACGCTGCCTTAAATGCCTGTATTTCGCCTAACTTTTAGATAGCTTGCGTAGCAAGAGCTTGATTTGAATTTGGACACGAGTAAGTTAAAAATAAATCCGTCTGGGTGAGCTGGAAGTCACGCACACACCACACGCACGTACGCTCGCACAGACACACTGCTCTCTTGCACGTGTGTTAATTGCATCCTTACTGAGCGCCTTCAATTGATTAAATCTCACATCCAATAAACAACGGCTGTCTATACCATTTCAGAATGTCCAGTTCTTTCAGAAAGTCTACGTTGTTTTGCTATTGTCTCTGACTTTGTTAAGTCAAATTATTAAGTGCAAAATCACTTAGGTAACGATTTAATGTTCCTCTCTCTGTTGCTGTTGCTGTTGCAGAAAGCCATACCATCCGAAGGAGGAGCTCGACTAATATGGAAAGACTTTGTCCCGGCGGCATGGATCTAGGTACTGCCTTCAGTACCTGTTCTAAACCTAAAATGAAGTGCAGAATTGAAACACAAACATGCTACAAGTATGTGATTTGCAGTGAAGTTGGCAAAAAGGGTAATTGGCCCATCGTAACTGATCAAATGATGTCAGCTAAGACTTCCCTAAGCACTGATTGTCGTAGAGAGCACATCTGGAATGCAATCGTGTGTTGTGAATACACTTGCATGTTTAACTAAATAAATAAATTACCTTCAGCTATCTAACTAGTAACCATTTCCTACTAATTAGTCTCAGAACATTTGAACGTTCACTTGTATGTTTGACGTCATGGTCACATGGCTACGTTAGATGACAGACAAAGTACTTTTTCTTTAAACAATACTACAATTATTAGGGCGATGCGTATCTTGAACGGTTTGTATCAACAAACGGTCCTTTTTCTCGTTTTTATGTAAGCGATACTTGATAGAAATAAACTATAGAATGTTTTTGAGAAGAAGAGAAAGACTGTGCTTATTCAGTTCTAATAAATGCAAATTATTTCAAGATGTCGACGACATCTTGTTAGGGACCATTCATCATCTATCTCTGTGGAGGTTTCTTTTTTGCTTAGAGGAGCTCACGTGGTTTTCAAGGAGAACAAAGTGGGATCAGTCGTCGCCAACAAAGGGTGGGCTATGGAAAATTGACTCCCGCAAAGCAAAGGGGGGAGGACGGGGGAGGAGGGAGGAATTATAAATTACAGAGTCTCTGGAAGGATCGGCAAACCGTCTGTAACCTCCATCCCTCCGATAATCCCAGGGCGACCAGGGATGGGTTGTGGACAGCCCTCCCAAGCAATTCAAGACAGGCAAGCTCAAACACACCTGCTTGGATTCTTCATGAATGATTCAAGCGCTTGTCCGTAAGAGAATGGTCTCGAAACTGGGACCCGTTACAGCTCATCAACACTTTCTACAGATAATCCGATAGAATTTTAAGGCTTTAGATATATATAGGACCTTTCTCTGTTACCTGCACAAGATGATATTAATTTCAATTCTATATTCAATATTCACTTTTTCTGTTGCGTAAGTTTTGTTTTAATTAGAATACCATGAGGCACGAAGAGCGGAAAATGAGCGTCAATTCTTACAAACAATGCTCTTATAGACACTTAGTACTCAAATGAATCATTCATGATCATTTACACACAGTGGTGTCTATAAGGTGCGATAATTCAGCAATAAAGGTACTACTAAACGGATTAGATTACTGTCTCTTACATTCGTCACAAAATTTAATTAGACGGCGCGAGAATACAGCGTTTATGACGTGGCTTAGCAACGCATTTTCTTTCTTACTGCGAAAACCTTTTGTTTAAAAGCAATGAAGTCGTTATTCCCGGCTCTCCGGTAGCGTTTGAAACATATCTACGTTTCTAACAAGAAAAAAGCTCAGTTTCCAATGAAATATTATTTCATAAACACACACTTCAACTTCATTATTTGCGAAGAATTGAGTAGTCAAAAAGTTCTTCGATCGACAATCTGGCGTTTTTTGTCCGTTGAAGTACGTTACAGAAACTTGGCGGATTTAAAATTAACACAGTATTTAGCGTTCAACTGCTGAAGTTGTAAAGTGGCTCTGTCGACTCTAAAGCCTTTCGTTTATAAACGCCACATTAACCCTCTGCAGTACTGTATACCAAACATTTCAACCTTAATGAACAGTAACCACAAAAATGCGCTCATTACACGATAAGCTTACATTCAAATGAAGCTATTCAACTTTCAATACATTACTAATGTTAAAACTTTTTATTTTCCATTTTACTTTACCAAAAACTACTTTATATCATAATTAATTAAGTTTACAACGCGTAACATATCGTTTTTTAACGATGAAAAGTGCTACAGTCGAACGGCACCTACTGAAGTTTCAAAAGCTCTACTTCTTCAGATCCTTGTGTAAAAGCACGCTTTCAGTGTCAAAACAGCTTTAGTTTACATCCTTTAATTGGGACATCTTAAGGCACCGAGGAAATCTGCGGCATTTGGATGAGCAATAAATATTTTACAGGTTACCCTTTTCCCTAACCTCACTCAGAATAACTGAATATATATTTTACAGGTACTTGATGAAGTGAATTTTCGCAATATTTTGCATTTTATTGCTAGCGACAGGAAGGTGGACAACATGCATCTTCTGAGGCAAGACGATGTAGCTCCGTCTACACCAGAGATGCAGATCGGCCGAGATCCCATGCATTCTGTGCATTGAGTTGAATCAGAAAATTAAATATACCGTTTTGTAGTGTACTATTTGTCAATTTTCGTCTAAGTGATTTGTCGTCAATTTGTTCAATCAGATGAATATTACAGAGACGAGGCGCGTGTACAGCATGTGGGTTTTGGATGGAAAAGCTACCGATCGATCATGGCTCGGTGAAGAGGTGAACGACTTTTGCGCTCAGTACACGATATACCACGTGACTAAGGAACGCGAACAGATGGCCGAAGAACATATAAATATAAAGATATAAATGAGTCTTTAACACTTAAACTCCCATGAGTGATCGAGACGGAATTTCTCCTTACAAAATCATAAACAATATCAAGCAGACGAGGGATGAGAATCAAGAAAAATATCAATCAGGTCTGTTAGAAATTTTTACGCAATAATTCAAAGAATTTGTCAAACCCTTTTTATGAAGTACAAATAAAAACACAAATTAAGTGTTTCCTTTTCCAAAAAAATAATTGAAAGCTTGGAAAGTTATGGAACTGACAAACAACTAAGCTAAAATTGCCTTGCAAGTTACTCCATCTAGTTAAATCACGAAAAGCGCCGTTCCTAATTTCTTTCGACAGTCAATTGTAAATTAAAAACATTATTTTGCATAGACAGTGATGGATCAACTTGACAGATCATAGCATCTTTATCAAATATGTATTTATTGATCAGCGTCAGTATCCTAGCAACTGGGTCCTACCTATCCTCAAACCCAAATTAACCTTAATATGCTGTCAGTTGACTGTTACTGGGTTAGGGAAGGGGTAGGTGCGCCGTTGATCAGATACTGATTCTGGTCGTATTTTTTTTTCCTCAGGCGGAACATCGCCAAATAGGGGGAGACGTCAGTCTGGGAGTGGTCTGAATGATACGAAACTGTGCCGCGGGGGAATGGACCTGAAAAGCGCCCTGCAAGTATGTCCCGAGCCCAAAATGAAATGCGACGAAACCCTCATGTGTTTCGAGATTGCCAGATGCGACGACTTTTGGAGACGCCGGCGTTCGTCGCCATTTTGGCTCTCAAACAGCGGCTGCTGGAATTATCACGACACTAGAAATATTGTCGAATGTTGCAAATACGTTTGTGATAATACTGAAGAACCAACCACAGGAACGGTGGAAAACATAGGCTCAGAAGTTTTGTAGAGGCATCTTTAAATATTTGGCCAATTTAGCTTTCTAGAGATACAGAACAAAACAAGCGATGCTATTATTTCAAATATCTGGCCTCAATTGATTAAAAAATACCTAGTTTCTTCACTGTTTTTCCATCTTCTTTCCACCATAGTCTCTCTACCTTTGGATGGCCCGCACCTTACTGTGATATCCCAAAGATGTTAATTATACCCCCTAACCTCCGTTTCACCTCCACCCTTTCAGAGAGGGCTTCCTCTGTCTGCCCGGCAAGTCTCCGATTTTGGGCAGTAGTGTCCGATTTTAGACACTTGTGATCGATTTTAGACACAGTTTCCGATTTTAGGTCCTAGCGTCTGATTTTAGAAACGTTCTTAAATTCTCAGACATTTCTCTTCTTCTTCATAAATTTCCTGAAGAATGGCTCATTTTTGACATCCACTCACATCCTCTGAGCCAAGAATTTTGCCAAGAAAAGTCTCTTTTATTATTTTCGTAAATAATGAAACCTCCAGGTCGGTTTACTTTATTTCGGTCAGTGATTGGTCAACTCTCAACCAATCAGAATACAAAACTGAAACCAATCATCCCTTGGTCACCCGCGTTTTCCCGCCTTAAATGCAGTTTGCTTGTTTCCCTTTGACCTCTCATTGGCTCTTTGGGATTTCATTTTGGTCTTGGCTTTGGTTTTGCGACACTCAATCGAAAAGCGTCCTTGACCATTGATCTGAAATTCATCGGATATAATATGGCACACGAACAGTGGCATATCTGCATACTAAAAGTAATTATTTTTAAAGGTTATTTTCACCCTTGATGCAACGCGCGTTGCGACCTAATTTCCTGTAACGCGAAATTCTCAGTTAGGTTACTGAAAACCTTCTAAAATCGTCTTTCTCAAGAGCCATCCTGGACATACAGTCAATTATTTTACGGTAAATATATTCGCCGTTCGTCATTTTATAGTTATCTTGCAGCATTGTGAATTTTGTTAGGTAGAATCCGAAGAAAATATTTTTCAAGTGTCACGCTTGGATCTCTACGTACTGTATGTACAGGGTCGGCGGAAAGGACAACATTCGAATTTTTTCACTTTGTAGAGGCGCTTGAGGATCCTAAATAAAGATAAAAAATTTTCCAATTTGGTATTTTTCAAAGAGAAATATGGAGTTATTTGAGGACCGTGTCCGGCCGTGTCAGAGAAACGTTTCTAAGTGTCACGCGCTTGGATGGCTACACGGTTAGCGAAAAACATCAAGTTCGAAATTTTTGGCTGCCTGGAAGTGCTTGAGGATTGTAAATAAAAGTAGAAAGTTTTCGTATAAATATTTTATAGATTTCGAAGAGAAATACGGAAAAATATCAGACTGCCAGACGTTTAGTTATTTTAAGACCGTGTTCGGCGTCAGTGACACTAACAGCTTGCGTTACAATTCTTATTTGCTGCCTTGCATGGACAACAACCTCGACCACTCTTTCGAGCACAAGCTCCTCTCTACGGGCAGGAAACTTCAACTGACCCTTGGTCCTATATAACAAGGATGGCAAACTTCAATGAAAAAAATTGATGTATGAATGAAAACGTGGTGGATCAACATTTTCACCTTCCTCGGAATGCTCGCAAGGATTTTCGTGTTCCTCTTCCACAACAACAGACCCGTGAGCGTTTAGTGCCTCGGATTCTACTAAATTAATGGATCCATCTGATTCCATACCGGATTAAAACGTATAGTATTCTTTTAAATAGAATTATTTTGACAAGCTCACCAAACTCATCGGAGAAAACGCAGAAGCTATTTTGAGACAACGTGACTTGGTTAAAATAACCGACCAATCAGAGGCGCTATTTAAACAAAAGCGGTGGTTCAAAACAAAAACAAACGACTACGTTGCATCAAGGTTGGAAATAGGCCTTTAAGCCGGGAATTGTTGCACGATGTAAGCGAGGAAGTTAACTCATTACGAAAGCTCAGAAATGCAGGTTAACCACCGCAGTGAATTTTGAAAAGCTGATACTTCGCAGAAGCTGAAATAAGTAAGTAAGTAAGTAGATAAACTCTTTATTTAAAGAGGGTAGCACTTAATAGCCAAAAGGCAATTAAACATGCGGCCTTAATGCAATACATATGATAGTACTAATACAAATATAGATATCAATTACTAAAATTAAATACATTATTATAGAAATAGAAGAACAGTTAAACAAAATAAAAATCTTATGATAAAATTTTAAATAAAGTAGATCTCAGGACTAAATGACAGAGTCAGGAAACTGTAAAATAGCCTGCAGTGCACGCGTCTAATTAATGCAAGCTAACGTTATAAGCTCGCGATCGTTTATCCGACCGGCCATGTTTGATTTGGAGTTAAAGTGGACGGTGAGGGTAGGGGGCGGGGAAAGGGCGAAAAAATCTTCACTACCCTACCCCCATTCTTCTCCTTAGTTTTGACCGTTGGCCACCCCCTTTGGTACAAATCTATTTCTCTCTCCAGCCTTCCGCTGCCATTAAATTCAAAGATGGCGGCCATAATTTTCGTTAAGAAATAACTGAGCATCCGTTCGCCAAAATTACGCCTGCTCTGTGGGCTAACGATAAAAAGAAACCAAATAAACTACAAGATGGTTCAAACTCTGTTGGTTTCCGAGAAAAATTGCCTTAAGGCCTTTTTAAAATTTTGTACTGATGTCTTTTGTCGTAAGGTGGTAGGTAAACTGTTCCATAGTTGACGAGTGATTACATTGAAAGTTTTACCGCCATCTGATTTACGTTTAAACTTTGAGCATACTAAGTTATAGTTTGTATACCTTGTGTTACGAGAGTGAAGATCACCATTACGTGTTAAAAGGCGAGTAATATACGCAGGTAATTCTCCCCGTAGTCTCTTAAATGCAATTAGAAATTTGGTTAATTTTAGCATCCTCGTAAAAAGGTAACCAACTTAAATCATCAAATAATCTTACAGAAGAGGCCAAAGAATCAGCGTCCATAATAAGTCTAGCTGCACGTTTCTGTAATTTCAGCACTTTAGCTAAAAGGTCATTTTCACAATTGGTCCAAACAACGGCTCCATAATTCAGTACAGATCGTACCATGCTCTAATAATATAAATATTGTTGCTTCATCGGAATTTATACTCTAATTTTTCTTAAAATGCCAACGCGTTGAGAAAGTTTTTACAAACATTTTCAACATGAGAAGAGAAAGACGGTTCGCTATCAAGTTCTAAACCTAGCAATTTGGTATTTGGGACATAATTATGTGAATTCATGCTATTAAGTAACATGTTTTTGTCCATCTTCGAGCTGAGACGTTTCTCAGTAACAATCAACGTTTTCGTCTTGTCTGTGTTAAGTGATAGCTTACTGGCATTGGCCTATTTGGTGACCTCAGATAACGTGATGCGTGATGCCCTTTCTTGGAGAAAATTGACTCACTGCACGATTTACAGTTATAGTGGAGCCAAGACAGGAATTCAGAACTCATATACAGCCAGATAAATTGGTTTCATAAACTTGGTTGACAATATAATGTATAGCCAGTTGAGAATGTCTCCTACTTCCTTTGCGAGCTGCTCGTTACTATTTCCTTGTTTGTTCCTTACTTTTGTAATTTCACAGTGTACGTGTTCATTTGTGTGACCTGCTCGTTGTTACTTCCTTGTGTTTGCTCTCGGGTAACACGAATGTTTCCGCCTAGGATTACTCCACCATTTGCGACAACATCAATAAAGATTAATCGTAACCTTCTATAGGGTTTCCAATCGACCTCCTGCATCCTTAATGTTTCCGCTTAGGATTCCTCCACCATTTGCGACAAAATCAGTAAAGATTGATCGTAACGTTCCTTAAGGTTTCTAATCGACCTCCATTCTTAAATAAGATCACTTTATCCTGAAGCACCTTCATTTAAATTATAAGTCCACTGTTTGAATAAGTTTGGGAAGCTTCTTAATTAAAGAGGAGGAACCAACTTTAAAATTCATGTTATCATAAAAAGGCGTGCTGCGCTATTAAACGATAAGGCTTTTGGCCTTCAGTACAAAGCCTCAAAAAAAAATAAATAAATAAAGTAGATACACCAATCGCTAAATCCTAAAGCCTCCCGGAAGTTGAGCGCTGAAACGGCTTTGCGGAGACGGTTTCCTCAGGCAGTTAGGACGTGACCAAATGTCCGATAAGAGGGATTTCTTGATACCTAAGCCAATTGGCCAGTTGGACAAGGACGCCCTTTAAAGTTTCAGGAACTTGTGGTCTATATCTAGAATGGTAGAAAGAGAACGTCTTGTATCAAAATATAATATTTGTTTGCTGTAACAATTTAACTTTGGGATTGTCGGGGAAGAACAGATAATCGCTCCTTGTGTCACAAACCAATAAAGCAGTATATCACGGACACAACATGCCGGATACAACAACTGTTACTTGATAGTCACGTCACGCAGTAAAAATAGGCTATCCCCAAGTGTCATAACACATTTGGGCTTAGCTAAGCCGTTCCTGTCGCTGAATCATTCTGCAATTGTGAAAATTGCCATTCATGCTATGATTATGAGTTATTTCCAAAGAGAAAATTGTTCGAAAGAGTCCTAAATTTACGTAGCACTCGCTAACGCGCAAGCCGCGCGGATCCTCGCGCCTGATTTCATTTCAATTGTCAACTTTCATTAACATCACGTTCGAATCCAAACACCTTTCTTTCACTTGCTAATTGAGTCCTCTTGCTTTACATTGACAAGCTTATGGATATTTTACACTTCCCAGGCGAGAATTTTGTTCTTGGGCAAAGCTCGCTATGAAAGCTAAGAAATACACTTAGACCACAGCAGTGAATTTTGAAAAGCTAGTATTTCGCGTGATGCTCTTTCTCGGAGAAAATTGACTCACTGCATGATTACAGTTATAGTGGAACCAAAACAGGAATTTTTGAACTCATATACAGCCAGATAAATTGGTTTTATAAACTGGGTTGATAATATAATGTATAGCCAGTTGAGAATGTCTCCTACTTCCTTTTCCCTGTTCACGTCCCCTACCTTTGTAGTTTCACAGTGTACGTGTTCATCTGTGCGAGCTGCTCGTTACTACTTCCTTGTGTTTGCTTCCGGGTAACACAAAAATTTCAGCTCGTGTGATTTGCGACATGTTTTTGTGAACAGTGTTCCCGGTTGTGCTGAAGCTGTTGATTACGCAAGTGGGCTCTATGCCAAGGAGTTGCTATAAAAGAGTGCAGCTATGATACAGCTAGCAGTTAGCAGACGTTTCAAAAGACAAGAAGAATTCACCCCGATCACGAGGAAGAGAGCTTAGCTTATCGAAGGAAACATTTCTCTTCAACCATGTTAAATGTAAGTAGACGTGCATGCTTTTTTTGGCTTTGGTTGCACAACGCTGACTTAAAAAGTGAACTATTGCAAGTTTGATACCTCTTGATCCACAACTCTTACCTCCCTCTGTGCCGATCTCGAGAACAAGAAGAATCTTCCCTCACTGTGTTTTCCCCTCTATCAGGTGGCGTTAGTACTTTTGGCCTTGATTATCTTGCCAATTTCTACTTCGGGAAATCCCGCTTGGCAGAGACTGAGACCCGAAAAGAGGGTGAGTATGTGATTAAAAAAGAAACGCCATGGCAAATACTGAAAAGCTTACGTTTCGAGCGTTAGTTCGTTGTTCCGAGTCACAACAAATTCGAAAAGTATGTAGCTATTTCGACCGCCGAAGTAGACGCAGATTCTCGTGCAGTTCACTAAAAAATCTTCGAGTTCAACACGTGGCTTTTATCAGAGTCAGACATCCAAAGCGAAATCAGGAAATGACTTGACACTTTATTGAACCGATGAGTCTTAAATAAAAATTTATTATAGTAATCATCGCAAAGTTCATTCTTCATAACAATATTCTAAAAATGTCAAAACATTGTTTTATTCAGGCACATATGTTTGGGTGTAAATAAGAAGAGAACGTCATTTATCATCCATTCTCGAAATGGTCTCTTTAACGGATCAAGGAAAGTGCTAATCAAATCCAGAAATGTTTTCAGTTAAGGGTTTGCTTCAGAATTTTCAACGAGCCAAACGTCTGTCCGTCGCAGATGAGAGCTCTCATCTCATCAAAAGTGTTTCATTTTGATAAGAAAACAAAGGGTATATGCATTTCGTGTACATTTTCAAATTGCAACGTTTTTACACATAAATACATATTAAAGATATATATATGTATATATATATATATATGTGTGTGTATAGAAAAAGATATCGGTTGCTCTGAACGAAACGTGCCATTCATGATATAGCTGTCAAAAATTTTAATGATAATTTTACACCTAAAGGTAGTGGACTACAATGTTCGCATAAGCGAGTCCGGAGAGAATTACACTCAGAAAATTGAAGTGAATCAAGTAAAGAATACCGCATTGTTCGAAGTTCCCGCCCATCCTGGTGTTGATCGTTCTGATGTCCTACATGATTTTAACCAAGTGAGTTTTAGCGTAGACGAATTCTTACTCAACTTTCATTATTACTGTAAAGCCTCGACTCTTTTTACCTTTTTACACATAAATTAAGCACCACTCATGCAAAATCCAGAAGCTGGTCAATTCTTTCTAACCTCACTGTTAACAGACAAGGGTCGCACTCACGTATTTTTGTCCGGGTGAACTCCTTTATCGACTTCCATCCTCGCTAATTGTTTTTACTAGCTACAAGCTCTTCAGTAATTGTATATCTTTCCATTTTTCCATTTTTAATAATGCAACGTAGCTTAAAAAAGCGATATTTAGCCATTGCATAAGTATTTGATATCATTTTCCTTATATCTCTTTATTTATCGCACCAGAATTTGACGATGCTGCGAATCCCAGAAGAGAATACCTGCTATCTGTTTCCTCTCGTGAAGGAGCAGACGACCCCTGAAAAGTTGATTAGGGATCTCGACAAAGCCAGCGGGGTGAGAGCAATTGATACTTTTACAATAAATCGTATCGTAATTTAATTGTTTCATTATTTGTCGTAATAATTTTGAATAATACCGGTGCAATTTATCCCGGAAAACCCCCTTCATGGCCAAACTACACTTCAGGATGACAGGCCGGGCAAGGGCGCGAGTTATTTTCATGATAAGCGATTTAGCTCGACATAGTTAATAATCAACTAGAACTTGATATGGGACAAATACTACTATGGCTGTATACTTTCCGATGCTTTGAGCGTTGATCCGGGTCAATCGAAGGATTGTAAATTACTTGTGCGTGTGTCTAAATGCCAGAATATGCAGTTAGGTTATTGGGGTAAGCTTGGGAAAGGATGATAGTGAATGTTTAGCAAATAAGTGGGGCGTGTTCTTTGTTCTTTTCTTCTGACTTGAAATTCAAAGTTTCGATTATGAAAATAAATATTGTTTTTGAAATTTTGCGATTCCCCAGCGTTCTGATTCATACCTTAATTTGGAGAAGGAAAGTCCCCAGAAAAGTACGTTTTGAAACAACCATCATAAGCTTAGGACTGAGATTTCTTTGCGACCAGTGAAAAAGAATGCGAAGAGAAAAACAAAAAGGGATCATGATTTAATTGCAAGTTTAACGCGAATGTAAAAATCATGGGCCTGATTTTGAAACAGTGTACTTTGTGAAGTCCTGACACACTTCGCCCTCTTTGTATACTATCACGCAAATTCGAAAACGATTTAACAAAATATTGAATCCTTAACTCTATCAGATGGTTGTGACGGAGACCAAGCGGGTTGATAACACTTGGATTCTTGACGGCCAGCTAACAGACCGGTCCACACTCAGCGAGGAGTTGGCGCAATTTTGTGCAAAATACTTCATATACCATGTGAAAAAAACCCACGATTCGTTAAGTGTGGCAAAAGGTAAGACAACGAAACTATCAAGTCACATTTCGTCAAGAAAACTTCACATAGCCTAGCGTTTTCACGAGGTCATTTACGCACACACACCTGAACGGACGCACAGATCTCTTGCGAGCGCGTTATTTGTATTCTTGCCAACTCTCCGTAGCCTGAGTTCGACATCCAATCAGCAACGCCCGTCAATTAACTGCTCAAAATTGTCAGTTCTTTCAGAACGTCTAATAAAGTTGTTTTGCTATTTTTCTAACTCTGTAAAATCAAATTACAAATTATAGCATCGGTTGATAGATGATTAACTGTTCCTATTTCTATGCTGTAGCAGAAAGCCATATAATCGTGGAGGCGGAGTAATAAACAAACTGTGTCCAGATGCTGCCATAGATGCCTGTATTTTATATAGCCTGCGTAGCAAGAGTTTGATTTTAATTTGGACTCAAGGAATTAAAAAATAAATCCATCTGGGCGAGCTGGAAGTCACGCACACACCACACGCACTCACACCCGCACAGACACACCACTGCTCTCTTGCACGCGTGTCCATTGCATCCTTACCGAGCGTCTGCAACGTAGACTAAATCTCACATCCAATAAACAACGGCCGTCTCTAACAATTTAGAATGTCTAGTTCTTTCAGAAAGTCTACGTTGTTTTGCTATTGTCTCTGACTTTGTTAAATCAAATTATAAAATGCAGAATCACTTGGGTAACGATTTAATGTTCCTCTCTCTGTTGCTGTTGCTGTTGTAGAAAGCCATACAATCCAAAAGCGAAGGACCAGAAGAATAAACAGACTTTGTCCTGGCGGCATGGATCTAGATGATGCCTTCAACTCCTGTTATGTGCCTAAATTTAGGTGCAGAGTTCGAACAAGAACATGCTACAAGTATGTGATTTGTACTAATGTTGGCGAAGATAGACAGGATAGTTGGATCGACGTACGAGACCGCAGGGCGGCTCCCCTAAGGGTAAATTGCCGTGAAGAGCACATCTGGAATGCAATCGTCTGTTGTGAATACACTTGCATGCATAAATAAATAAACAAATTATCTTCAGCTCCCTAACTACTAACCATTTTCTACGAATTAGTCTTAAACATACAATTAAACATAAAAGAGAACATTTGAACGTTCACTTGTATGTTTGACGTCATGATCACATGGCTATGCTAGAAGACAGACAAAGTTCCTTTCCTTTACACAATGCGACAACTATCAGAGCGATAGGTATCTTGACCAGTTTGTATCAACAAGTGGTTCTTTTCTTTTTGTAAAATAAGCTATATTTAATAGAAATAAAGTATAGAACTTTTTGGAGAAGGAGAGAGTAACTGTGTCTATTTCTAATAAATGCAAACTATTTCAAGATGTCGACAACATCTTGTTAGGCACCGTTGATTATTCATTGCCGGGAAGGTTTTTTTTTTTTTGGTGGGGGGAGGGGGGGCGGAGGGGAGCTCACGTGGCTTTTAGGGGGAATAGAACGGGATCAGTCGTCGCCAACAGAGAAAAAGAGTATAACGAGGGGCCTATGGAAAATCGACTCCCAGTTAATTTCTATAGAACAGGGATAATAGGAATATTGCAAAGCCTTATGGGGGATCAGGAAACCGCCGGCAACCCCCATCCCTCCGATTATCCCAAGGTGACCAGGGCTGGTTGTGGGAAGACCCAGTTGGAAAACCTTCCCAAGCAATTCCATTAAAACACTTCCACCCAAGTATTCGAGACAGGCAAGCTCCAACACACCTGCTTAGAGTCTTCATGAATGATTCAAACGCTTGTCCATAAGAGAATGGACTCGAAACTGGGATCCATTACAGCTTATCAACCTTCCTACAGATACTCCGAAAGAATTTTAAGGCTTAACAGACGGGACTTTCCTCTGTTACCAGCGCAGGATGATATAAATTTCGGGTCTATGCTCACTTTTTCTGTTGTATAAGTTTTGTTTTAATTAGAATAACACGAGGCATGAAGAGCGGAAAATTAGCGTTAATTCTTGCAAACAATGCTCTTACAGACACTTAGTACTCAAATGAAGTCTCTGCGTCATTACTGACTCATTTACGCACAGTAGTATCTATAAGGTGCGATAATTCAACAGATAGGGATTACTGAAAGGATTAAATTACTGTCTCTTACATTCGTCACAAAATTTAATTAGACGGCGCGAGAATACAATGCTAATGACGTGGCTTAGAAACGCATTTTCACTTTTACTGCGAAAACCTTTGTTAAAAAGCAATGACGTCGTTATTCCCGGCTTTTGTAGCGTTTTAAAAAGCATATCTATGTTTCTAACAGGAAATGAAACTCAGTTTCCATTGAAATATTATTTCATAAAGGCACTTCAACTTCATTATTTGCGAAGAATTGAGAAGTCAACAAGTTCTTCGGTCGATAATCTAAGCGTTTTTGTCCGTTGAAGTACGTTACAGAAACTTGGCGGATTTAACATTAACACAGAATTTAGCGTTCAACTGCTGAAGTCGTAAAGTGGTTCTGTGGACTCTAAAGCCTTTCGTTTGTAAACGCCACATTAACGCCGTATTTCAACCTTAATTAACAGGGACCACAAAAATGCGCTCATTACACGATAAGCTTACATTCAAATGAAGCTATTCGACTTTCAATACATTACTAATGTTAAAACTTTTTATTTTCCATTTAACTTTACCAAAAACTACTTTATATCACAATTAATTAAGCTTACAACGCGTAACATATCGTTTTTTAACGATGAAAACTGCTACGGTCGAACAGCACCTACTACAGTTCCCAAAGTTCTATTTCCTCAAAATTCCCCGGGGAAAAGCACATTTTCGGTATGAAAACAGCTTCAGTTTACATCGTTTAATTGGGACATCTTTAGGTTTGCCAAGTAAAGTATTTTCAATTATTTTTTTAAGATATAGGTCGATATCAGTTCTAGAAAATGTTTACATTAAGAACGCTTTAGATTCCCGAGAAAAGTCTCGAAAATTTTGCTGTTGCATTTGAAAATGCGTGGCAAGGCTTTGCGAAGATATGAAGAACTGAAGTTCTCGTTGACGAGAAGGAAAACTCCTTTTAACGAGCAAATCTCGCCACTGACGAGCACTTTTCGTCAATGTCAGCTAATCACAGAGAAATAAAATGGTTGCTCTCGGGTCGAAAAGGAAATGGTGCTGTTGCAAACTGATTATTAAACCCTTCGGCAGGAATTCCTACACTAAGCAAAACAATTCACACACGGAACATCGTTTTAAACTGATCCTTTAATTCGCATATAACTTAACAACCTTATCGTGAATGAGCCCAAACTCTACAATTACATATCGCTTGACTTTGTTGACTTATGTATGTCTACAAGATTGCTCAATCGACAAAACCGGCGCGTGGTTCATCTTCAAGAGAATTCTTAATTCCTAATAAACGCAAGTCCGCGCTGTTAACTATACAGAATTAAAAGCACCGAGGAAATCTGCGGCATTTGGATGAGCAATAAATATTTAACGGGTTACCCTTTTCCCTAACCTCACTCAGAATAATTGAATATATATTTTACAAGTACTTGATGAAGCGAATTTTCGCAATATTTTGCATTTTATTGCTAGCGACAGCCACATTTAGAACTCGACTCCTCCTTAGAAATGTCCGCTTTTTTTTAGCCAAAAAGCTTTTGTGATCGGCGTAATTCTCGAACTTATCAGCCGGTGCCTAACGAAAAAGAACAAGGTCGAAAGCTCATCAAAAGCAATGCATTCTTGCTTTTTATATGAATGTAAACATTTCCAGCTCTTTGTTGCCATTACTTTCCCGTTCTGCTGAAGTGTCCCGGCGATTTATAGGAGTCTTTGTATCACCGCATTTTCAAATTGTCTAAAGTAAAACGTCCGTAGGAGCTCTGCTATAGTTTGCATTAAGTTAAGAAGTCAGATTAAAGCAGATTCTGCCTTCTGTATACAAAAATTTGAACAATTTGTTCTCTCCTCACAATCTGTCTCATTTCGCTGCTGCCATGCTTTTTCGTCTTATTTCCTCTGGTGAATGCTTCACCAGCATTTCGATCAAGTCGAAATCGTCCGTTAGATCAACAGGACACTGGCCATCGTAGTTATTGATATCAGGGTTAGCTCCGCTACGAAGGAGAAATTTCGTCACCGCTATATTCCCGGCTGTGACGCTGTGGTGAAGAGGTGTACAACCATCCTCATCTCTCATATTCACATCTGCTCCCAGAGTCACAAGCATGCGAATGCATTTTAAGTTCCCGTCTTTGACAAGCTGATGAAAATCTGGATTTGCTTGGCCTCCTTGAGTGTTAACCAGCATTTCTGTATCAACACTTGGCCGTTTCAGAAACGAGCACATTTCAGATGGGTCTCCATCTTTGACCATGTCATGGAAAACCAAATCGTGGGGAAATTTCACTCGACGATCCATAATCTCCTTGACTGGGTTGTGGCTTGGCATTAAAAGTCTGTCTTCTTTTACAGTGTCCCTGGAACAACAAGTTTTTCTCGGACTTTCGACCGCAAGGATGTTTCCCTTCGTTTTCTGATCAATAGGCGCGCTCGCCTTTCAATACAGATGTGTTTTGACTCTTATATCGAGGTGCAAAATGTTTTGTATTTGATATCTGAAGAGTTTACTTACGAACGGAAGACAAAGAGACTCTTTTATTATATTTTTCCAAACAGAATAGCACTAACTGAAAGCTAATTGGTTAGTTTATGGACCCTGTTTACTTAATTCTTTCATACGTGATTGGCAAATTATTTCTTTACGTAATATCAGAGACAGACCGTGAATTAATAAACCAATGTGACGTCAGGTGTCAGAAAAAAGATTGCAATTTCTATATCTTTTGAAGAGGGGAACTGGAAAAATGAGCTAAAGATAGAAAGGGCTCTTTTGTACACTTTACAAAACCTCTTCAGTGTTATTTTGAAGTCAACAAAGTTTAACATGGAAAGGAAATTGAGGAAAATTTTAGTTTGTAAATGTGGTAGTCAGGTTTTATCTGACAGCTTGAAATTGTGTTCCAAATTAAGCTTTTGCATTTAACGCCGGCTAACTAAACAGTGTAAGACAACCACTGAATCACACAGACAAAATCCGCTTCCCTTTAGATCACAATTACGTACAAAGGATTTTCTCATGAAGGAAGAAGGGATTAACTTTATCTGAGACGCACTCGGACAATAACAACTTTGCGTTCGAAATTAAAATTAAAGGCTCATAAAAGGCTTAACCTTTTCTGAGTAGCGGGGTCGTAAATGTTTTCTTACTATATGGATCGGAGTAAACTAGCCCTGGCGGCTCAAATTTTGGCTTTGTTGCGGTCTGACAGCTTCGGAAGTGGAAAATATGCAATTAATTGTGGCGACTTCAAAAACGTTTTGAGTGGTTTTATCTGTTATTTGAATTCAGTGGTTTACCGCACAATAAAACTCTTACGTGGAAACTAAGCTGGAAAACACCACAGATGTGCTTTATCCCTAGTTATTGTTCAGTTTAATCCTTCACACCCTAACATCAGTATGCATATTCTCCATACTGTTCTCTATACATTTCCTAAGGTGCTGACAAGGAGAATATGTTCAACCATTAAGAGGTTCTTTAGTTGGTGATCATTTCCTTTATTCTCATGACCTTAATGTGTGATTCAGGGATGATATTGTAAGGAGAAATTAGATGCGAGTCACTCGTATGGGTTTAAGGGTTAAAACAATTGAAACTGTTTTTAAGTGTAGAGGTAAGATATTCAATACAAAAGAGCACTTGTCAACACTTAGGAGGTCAAATTTCACAGAAAAAAGATTTTCAAAAATATTACGTAAACAAAGGCTTCCTGACAATCAATCAAGTATTAAATTAATCTTACAGTAGTCATGTTTAAATCAGTAATGAAAACCCTGTTACTGTGATACTGAAAGCCATTATTGCAGCTACACGCTCAGGGAGTATTTTGAAAACAAAGTATGATACGAAAGTCTCCCTCTTCAAAAAGGGTAATTGTGAAACTGAAATTGTACATCTGAAATGATAGAACCTTTCTCGTCAATATACCTTTAAGCCTTTGATTGGTTTATGTGCACGTGTGCTGTAACACGCTTCATAAAAATGTATGTGCAAGACAAGTTACACGTGCCCACGAGGATGTGGAGTACTCAGACGGAAAAAAAAAACGCTGTCTGATCACGTCTAGTTGACACGATTTAGAGGAAACGAAAGGTTCAGAAAACAAGCTTACAATCACGCACAGGGCTGTAGAAAGAGTGGAAAATTTGGTGGCGACCTAATCACCACGGCCTATTGGCAGCTGGCTGAAAGCTGCCATTTTGAAACCCGAGAGTTGGGCACTGAGTCGATGCCACTATATTTATCGAAGCACTTTCTGGAGATTAGTAAGGTGAAAGACAAATAATCGAGATTATTTTTTCTGGATTTATTTCCATAGTCAGACAGATTTTTTCAAATAGAAATTCTTTAATAAATCTCACTTCCCCAAAATCTTAAATTCCCCAAAGAATAAATAGTGGATATCCTATTCAGAGGTTATGTCACCTTCAGCTAAACCAGACGCTTTCTCTGTTTCTTTTTCCGACATTATGTTGTAAATACGTGATGCGAAATTTACGTTTATTGTTTACAATTCTTGGTGTTAGTAATCAGGCATGTCTTCAAATTCGCGCATCTTGAACAGAAGTGGTCTTAAATTGATAATTTCGTGGAAAATGCTTATTTCAAAAATGGTTTTTTTTCTGTTTGAAGAAAAAACTGCGGAGAAGGCATCTCGATTGAGTGTGTGTCGTAAATCTAAATAAAAGTATACGTAATCATAACAGCCAATCAACTGAAAGGTGAATACCACAAGGGGCCGATCAGAATTCAATGCAAATATAGGTAAAAAGCGCGGGAAAACGCGAGTGGCCAAGATTCATTTGGCTGTTAGTTTTACATTTGATTGGTTGAGAGTAGCGTGAGTTTTCTGGACCGAGCACATAGTGAAGGAACGCCAAAACAATACAATTCCTAATCTTTTGTGAGACTCAATAGAAATTTTCCCTCAATATGACGAGAAAACAAAACATCTTCTGAAACTTTTATTCGGAAGAGAATGTCTCATCAATAAAATCAGTCACTGAGTTAAACAACTGTTCGCGTTACTTTGGTGACCGACCAAGCCTGGTGGAGGAATTTCGACAAAATATCGTTCTGTAGGGTCAATCGGGTTGACCACTTATGTAGCAGTCACACGATGTTCACAGATGAAGGAAGCCAGTTCGTAGCTTGTGGATATGTAATGAACATGGAAGGTTCTTCACGTGACAAACGATTCCAGAAACCGTATAAATGATTTAAATGAGGGCGCTTGAGTTTGCTTGACTGATTGAAGTAGATATGCCATGTCACGCGTCACGAAGTCAACCAGGCGGGAGGTGTCTGCAGTTAAGTTATAGGGTGGAACTCTCATACCAGTTACATGAATCCAAACATAGACATCAAGGAGTTCGCATAAGCCATGGGTTTCACGTCTGGGTGAGGCTGAGTACGAAAAAAGAAGAAGAGGAGTTGAAATACCCCTGGGGCATGTTACCCAAATAACTGGGGTATCCCCGCTTCCCCCCCCCTCCCCTCCAGCCGTCAGGACGACGATAACAAAATCAAAACCTTGAACTTACCACAGCATCGTATGTTGTGTAGTTAGGTTTCGTGTCTGTTCCCATTGTGATAAACGCTCCTTTGTTTCCCATTTCATCACTGTTAAAGTAAACTCACGTTAAATAAGGAAAAGGATAAAGAAAAGTACAGAATAATAAGCTGCAAAGGTAGCAATACACTAAAAAACATTCCTAAGTATTTTTTTTTTACAGTAAATTCTTCACTAACAAATTTTTGGTTACAAAACGTTACCAAAAACTCTTCAGTGCCTTGCACGCCTTACTACAGGTAACTTCACGCGTGAGTTTAGTTCCCACATCCAAAAAAAAAAAAAAGAAAATTCCATTTATATTAACGCGTTGGGTTGTGCTGTTCTTATGATGATGTAATTGGCGGTTGTGCCCGGATAGTGACTAAGAGAGAATTTCTCCTTACAATATCGATACAATATCAAGCATAGAAGTGATGATCCTATACCAAATTCTCCAAATTGACATCGTAAGAATTGTATGACAGACAGTAGGGAGAATTACTAATGAGATCTTGGGAGTTAAAGGGTTAAGGTGAAACCCAAACATGAGAGCTTGCGCAGGCTTAATGGACGGCAGTAAGAGGCCTTCTAGGCGGCGGTAGACCACCAGTAACTGGCTTTTAATAGACTCTTGAGAACTACACTGTAAGCAAACTTGACAACCACAAGTATTTTAAGGGGGAGGAGGTAACCCTCTCATTCCCAAGATCTCATTAGTAATTCTCCTTACTGTCTGCCATGTGACTCTTATGATATTGATTCTGAGAATTTGGTTTTGAATTAATGAATAATCTCATACTTTATATTTTCACCAAATTCTCGTCACGTTTCTGCCTAGTATTGTATTGATATTGTAGGGAGAAATTCTGTATTGGTCATTTATGGGAGTTAAAGGGTTCAAAGCGTGAAAGAAGCGCATTTGTGGCTTTGTATTTTCAGAAATCATCCACACAACTGACCAATAATTTGGAGCGGAAAAGACGGTGATGCATTTTCCATCGTGTGCGATCTCGTAGCCTTGCGGCTTAACCTCGTGACTTCTGATGATGTATTCTGTGATACAGCAAAACAAAAACCGGTAGAAACAAAATTAAAACTTATCACAACAACAAATTAACACCATTATCAATAATCTGCCATCAAAGCAGAAACGAGGAAAGTACTCCAAGCGCGGAAGAGCCTGGTAACCATTACCAGAAGCACATTTGCTTTGATTCTAACAAAATTATACAAAACAAAAGAGGGACTCACCAAGATTGTTATTTTTGCAGAATTGTTCCGTTACATCCGGGCCAAACTGTACACCAACTCCACGCTTACTTGGTGATCGACCAGGCTGTGGGGAATGATAAGTCAGTGTTATTTAACGTCTCTACAGGTAATATGAAGGTTAAGCTATGCAAGAGGAGACGAAAATTCAAGGCAAATTGAAGTATCTCTTTTCTACAAGAGACGAATCCATACCTCTGGCTGCGGATCCGACCATAACAATTCACACATCAGACCTGCAAAATAGAGCGGATTGTCAGTTAGCGATGTGTTGTTTGACTGACTGACTCTACTACTAACTCACATTGTACTGACTACCTGGCTGACTGGCTCAGTGGTTAACTGACTGATTGATTGACTGACTGCCTGACTGACTTACTGACTAACTGAACGACTGACTGACTGATTGACGAACTAACTGAATGACTGGCTGACTGGCTGACTGACTGAACGACTGATTAAAGGGGGTAAGTTTCTAAAGAAACTTTGGTGCTGCGTCAGTGGGAGAGTATGACAGGGTAATTTAGTGTTATCAACTGAGTTGAAAACGTAAATTGGCCATCGTAAAGAGTCAAAAGACTCACGTTTCGAGCGTTAGCCCTTCGTCAGAGCGATTGGCTGACTGACTAGCTGACTGACTGATTGGTTAACTGAGTGACTGACTGATTGA